GGGGGGGGGGGGGGGAGCGGGGAGGACTCGGTTTCTCGGAGATGGGTGTCTGCTGCTTCGGATGAAAAAAACACGGAGAGTTGGCCTGAACGAATTTCTTCGCGCCTGCTGTATACGCATCGCGTTCGCCGGCGCCTGTGTGCCGCGACATGAAAAGGGACGGAAGGTGTAGATAGGGTATGTAGCGTGCGTTGCTGGGCAAAGTTTGGCGAGCGTGTTTGGTGTTCTCAACATGCCAACGAAAACCCACCACACTACATGTGCATACGCTTGCAAAGCATGTTACATGTACGGCTGTCGCGTGTGCATCTTTATTATTGTAATAGCATCGACCGCGCTAACTGGCTGACCAATGAAAAGACGTCAGTCTCCGCGCGGCTGAAAACACAAAACACTTCTAAACGCCATTATTTGGGACCCCGTGAGGAGACGGGATGGGGGAGACTAACCTATTACCCGGATCAACAATCGCGTGTGCATGTGTTTGCCCATTTCGGTGACAAGCGGCCACGAAATAATGAAATAACCCCCTTCGGCCTTGAGGAGTACCCCGGATCCGTTAGCCTCCCACCTACCCCCAGTGCTACCGCGAACTTATGTACGCAGCAATCCGTACCCCACAAAGGGTGATCCACAGAACGATCATCGCACAACGTCGTGTAACACTACTTTGTGTCCCCCGAAAATAGCACAGCTGAATAAATAGCGGCAGCACACTTGGCGGCAGCGCGGTCCAACCTCTTTGTTGCTCGTGGCGGACCGCAATTCGGCACATGGCACATGTTGCATACAACAGTACTCCTCCATCGTATGCATCACGCGGGAGGAGCTCAACTAGCAAGTGTAGGAAAGGATTGTCGCTACAATACAGCCGCTCATTCTTGGCGATGTCTGACCAGCAGCGCGACTCTTGGACTCTGGACATCCCCCGTAGCCTCACACCCTCACCCTAATGACTTGCTGTCATCCTCTGATGTGTCTCGTGTCTGCTGTATTTTTATGTACGAAGTTTGATTTTTCAAATTGTGGACAGCTGTTGCTGGAACGGGTGCTGTTCCTGATGGATCATGACCTCGTCGATGGCACTTATTGCTACCACAGTTGTTCGTAGCAGTTCAACCAATTAAGAAAATCCATGATCAGAAGGGTGGGGTGCGGCAGGCCCATGCCATGGGACAGGAGAGCGGCTGGCTGGATTGCAAGGTAGTCTTCCTGTGCCACGTTTGCTCACAGCAGGTACAGCAGTACACAAGGTACAAACTCACCATGTTTTCCTCTGCTCGTTTAGCTCGATCCTTGGCAACCAAGTCCGTTACTGGCGGTGCATCGTAGAATCCGATTTCAGCAGGCATGGTAGTGCGTGGTCCTCCGGGTAGCTCCATGCAGCATGCAATCTGTGCTGGCAGGTAGTGCTGCAGGCCGGCTGGTCGTGGCTTGCTTTCATTGTCAAGGGGATGCCGCAGATGCAACACACTACCATGTGGCGGACCCCGTTCTCGGCCCCCTCTGCCCACTGCTGAGCAGTGCTCTCTCAGCAGACACTCTCCATTGCTGCCACAGCCTACACAGCATCACCATGTACGGCCGGAAAGGGAGACCGACAGAGGTGGGTTGACGCACAGAGATTTAATGTGTGCGATGTTCGTTCCCATCAACCCCATCGTTCGCGCCAAATACTCTGTACATAGCGCAATGATCAGCGGCAGGCGGCTTCTCCGAAATACACCCCCCTTTCCGTCATGTGGTCAAGTTGCTCTGTGTGCTGCTCCTGTCGCGATGTGTAGTGGACTGGGAGTACCAGATACTCGGCTTTCGAGTGGTAGCCGTGAGCAGGGTGACGTCGTCCGCGTTCGGCTGACCCAGGCACTTACTGGGGTAGGATGTGCTGCTGCTGCCCTGTCTGCGGAGTTCTTTCGGTGCGGCGGCATCAACCCCGTTTGAACTATAACTTCAACCTATGCTGACTGCTGCTGCCGTTGGTTGTCTCGTTGTCGTGGCATTAGTTTCGTAAAGACGCTCCCTTCAACTTCTGACATCTGGATTGGCTCAACTGATTAGGACTTCCGAAGAAGGTCGACGTACTTACAGCAGTACACATTAGAACAGCAGTCCCCCCGACAAACAGACTGGACAGCAGTGAAGGCAACAAGAGGCAACGAAGACTCTGCTAGCGGCTAGCGGCCAGGTCCCACAGTCAAGCCGTGGGTCTGAACGTCTTATAACCCCTTCACAACAGGACGCACAGAGTTTTCTGAAAAGGTAAGGAAAAGACGGAAAGAATCCTGCTGATTGGATGATGCGAACAGCTCCAGCCCTGGGTGCAAGGACAAAGCTCGGTCGTCTCATTTCTGAAAGCCCTACAGCAGTAGTCTATCAAGTGGCCTCTCGATAATCGAGGGGGCCATTTGACAGCGAGCAGTGTTAGTCCGCAATTCTAACCCCGGGTTCAGCTTGCTGGAAACACAACGTTAAAGAAAAAACAGTACACTAGTGTACGCAGGTTTTCCAATAAGCAAACATACCGGATGAAGTATAGAGTCGGCTAAGTTGGGGTTGGTGATTTAGGGCTACGGTCTTGTTGTTTCAATCAATCAAGGCGAGAGTTCCGTGGATCATGCTGTCCTAACTCGGGGTCGGGGTGTCAACAAGAAAACACCAAAGGCCAAGACTCGGTCATACTCGCAGCACGCAGGTGACATGCCGGATGGATAAGGGAAATCGATTGAGAATTGAGAATTGGTGATCGATGCACAGAGCCTACACTTGCTCCCACTGGACACACCCACGAGGCCAGCCACAACGACAAGGATGTGTTGGAAAGTCTCTGCGGTATGTGGGAGAAGAGCCGGCCGGATGCTGAGCTTATTTTTGAGTCTACTTGTAAGCCCAACAGCGAATCATTATCGGTGATGCCAGCTGGTGCTAAAATTTCGTTTCTTGTTGCGCGCATTATTTTTTATCGCACAAGGTCACGTTGAACGTGTACGACCTGAGCCCCGTCAACGAGTTCGGGCACCCGATCGGGCTGGGGGTGTTCCACAGCGGGCTGGAGGTAGACGGACGCGAGTACACCTTCGCGGGAGGGGGCGGGATCTTCGACCATGAGCCCAGGAAAGGTGCGTGGCATCTTGCGAACGAAGAGGCACCTATATATTTAGAAAGAAAATGCTTAAAAGGAACAAGACGATACACGGTATGGTCCGTGTGTACCAAGCTTTGTTCCCTCTCGCTTGTTCTGCCTCTCTGCCTCTCTGCCTCAATAAGGGCATGCGTGACATCCATCCATCCTCTCCATATATACAAGCCTCTTTAGGCTAGAAGAAACAAGTGACCCCCCCCCCCC